CTGTCCCTCGAAGCAAACCGCAGAAACGGTCTGTGTCGAGGTAAGATGGAGACATGAAAGTACGCGTCCTTCAGGTCTATCGCTGCAAACCAATCCTGGGGCCGAATGCACTCGAAAATGCGTTTGGCCGTGAGCATTTTGAACAGCAGTACGGTTCAAAATGCGAAGACCTAGGATCGGTCGTAACCGGTCTTCTTGGGTACAATGAAGTAGAGGCTGTAGAACCCTGACCTCATCTCGGCTGGAGGGACAGTCTTGATTGCACCCTTCGCCAGCAGGACAGCAACCTCTGCTCTCATGATCGGGGCATTGCCACCGACCACTGTAAAGCGAACTCCCCGGAAACGGGGAGGAGACCGTGCGAACTGAATCGCATAGCCGAGTCTGATCGTTCGGGCGACCCAACGGGACCAGTTGGGGAGCTCTAACCAAGCTCCCATAAACTGATCCAGTGGAATCATCCGAGCCACAGACTTCCCACCGGAGGAGCAGCGAGGCGGAGAGACCGGCAGACGTAGGGGTGTTACCCCCCGCGGGTGCACAATCAAACTCCGCTCCCCGACAAAGGAGACCAGGGAAGGACCAGCGTTCCACGGGGGTCTACTCTGCCAAGGGTCTGGCGATAGAGGGGGATGAGAGTGGTGTGGACCGGAGACAACACGCACTGCCATCCGCACCCTCAGAGACAGAGGAGGACGAGAGTGGCGAGGCACGGGGGCGTTGCCATCCTGCTCTGTGTGCTCAGAAATGGAATGCAGCTCTTTGAAAGAAAAAATTCTCCCTCAGCCCTCCACCGGGGGAAGGAGTGGGCCTGCGACCACTCCCTGAAAGAACTGCAAGCCATATCTAAGCTGCCCGTAATGGGAGCGCCGCAATGGGGCTGCGGGGCTGGTACGGACAGGGGCGCCTCCCTGCGACCACCTCCACGGCATGGCACGGTGCTGCTGGGGCCGGACAGGAGGGCGCATTCGGCGGCAAGCGGACTGAGGCGTCTGAGCCGACGGCCAGTTGGTAGCAGAAAGCCACAGGGTCAGAAAAAAGCCACAGTCCACTTCTGGGCGGCCAAGAACTGTTGGGCAGAGTTCTCGACCGCGTTGTCGAAGAGGCCAGCCTGGGATGTGGGGAAGTTGAGGAAACTGGTTCACTCAGCCTTGCGCACATCAACCAGGTTGAGCCAGAAATGTCTGACCACGCTAGTGGACATCACCTGACTCAGGGGGCATGTGGTCACCTTCGTCACTCGTAGAGCATAGTCGGTGACGGTAGGCAGCTCAAGGATGAGCCCTGAATCAGCCCTAGCCTCGTGCATGTCATTGAACACCCAAGAGGATGGCAATAACACACAGTGAGGTGGTAGCCCGCAGCTCTCTAGGTCCCCTCCACCAGAGTAGAAAAGAACCTACAGGCATTGGAGGGGTGCTTAGGGTTGCCACCCCAGCTGGAGGTGCTGTGGGGACACATAAGTGTTGCCACAGAACACTCCACAGGGGGGAACCCCAGTGTACCCTAGACTGCGGCCTCTACGAGGGCAGAGAAGGTGGAAGAGGCCGCTGAGCAGTCGTGAAAGTCAAAGGAGACTTCTTCATGCACATCCAGGTAGAAAGGATTTGGGTTCGCCACCCCCAAAAACTAATCATCAGCCTTAAGTGCTCAGGACATGGCAGAATTTTCCACACACACCCGATACTCGTGGCAGCCCGGGAAGCATAGCTGTGAACTCTGAAACAAATTCTCTATGCTAGCACATCCGAGGACAGCAGCACAGACGAGCCACCTACAGAGAACTCCAGCTCACCTTGTGATGCGGCGATAACATGATTTCATCAACTGGGGGACCGAATGAGAATGTGGGCCCTTTTATTTAAAAAAAAAGAAAATTCTCTTTTCTTTTTTTTTTTTTTTTTTTGCGGGCAGCCGCTAACTCACTCGGGACCACGGTGGGTTGCAAAGTTTTTTTTTTTTTTTTTTTAACATTGCGATGATCACGTTCCCACTGAGAGAACGTGACACACCCACGAGCTCTGTCTAAATGCGATTAAAGCCCAAACACGTCAAACAGTGCTCGCACCCATCAGCTGAATCTATCAGAATACCGCACTCAGAATACACGGGCAGATCTTCTTTAAAAAGACGTGCCGCGTGCACACTCTTTCAGTGAGAGGAAAAAACTCCGCTGATGTTGAAGCGACCAGGGAGAGACACACACACTGGCAGACCACTGCTCAGATCGCAGGCAATGTGAAACTCGCTGGGTACCGCCGTCACACCAACACCAGAGAGTTCGCTCATCTCGAAGAGGTGAGTCACATTAGGAAACTCAGATTGTGTGGCTAGTGGAGTGAAGAAGTTCTCTTGGCTCCAAAGCAAAAACATACTGCGGTTGCGAGGTGGGGCGGAGATACGCTATGCAAATTCCACAGACCCAAGGCATTTTCATGCCATTGGTTCGTTTTTAAATACTCAAAGTCATTGAGTCAAAGTCACACAAATACTGTCATTCGGAAATCAAGGTGCCAGAGTCTGGAGGAAGACTGGGGAGAAGGAAATGCCAAAATGCCTGAAGTCCAGTGTCAAGTACCCACAGTCAGTGATGGTCTGGGGTGCTGGTGTTGGTCCACTGTGTTTTATCAAGGACAGGGTCAATGCAGCTAGCTATCATGAGATTTTGGAGCACTTCATGCTTCCATCTGCTGAAAAGCTTTATGGTGATGAAGATTTCATTTTTCAGCACGAATTGGCCCCTGCTCACAGTGCCAAAACCACTGGTAAATGGTTTACTGACCATGGTATATGCTCAATTGGCCTGCCAACTCTCCTGACCTGAACCCCATAGAGAATCTATGGGATATTGTGAAGAGAAAGTTGAGAAACGCAAGACCCAACACTCTGGATGAGCTTAAGGCCGCTATCGAAGCATCCTGGGCCTCCATAACACCTCAGCAGTGCCACAGGTTGATTGCCTCCATGCCACGCCGCATTGAAGCAGTCATTTCTGCAAAAGGATTCCCGAAGTATCATATTATGAAGTATCCAAGTATTGAGTGCATAACTGAACATAATTATGTGAAGGTTGACTTTTTTTTGTATTGAAAACTTATTTTATTGGTCGGATGAAATATGCTAATTTTTTGAGACAGGCATTTTGGGTTTTCATGAGCTGTATGCCAAAATCATCAGTATTAAAACAATAAAAGACCTGAAATATTTCAGTTGGTGCGCAATGAATCTAAAATATATGAAAGTTTAATTTTTATCATTACATTATGGAAAATAATGAACTTTATCACAATATGCTAATTTTTTGAGAAGGACCTGTACATGTCATTTTCAAAATAAGCTTAATTTTCCCCTTAGCCAGAAAGATGCAAATTAACGCCGTACCCCAACCAAAAAGGGGCGTACGTGCTCCGGAGAATGGACTATCATTATTGGCTGTCATACCTTACCAGGGTGTGACCAGTTTAACCTTAAAAAACCCAAGCTAGAGACGATCTATCTCTTGTGCTCTCGTGTCCTCTCGTGTGTCTTCTCGGATCCTCTCTCGGTCTTCCCTGGTTTTTCCTGCTCCCTGATGTAATCGTGTATTCCTCTGTTCTTGTTTTATTTTACTCTTTTCTATTACTTTTGCGTATAGCCAGTTTTGTTCTGAATAGCTGTGCTCCCGTCTTTCGACTGAGGTACCCATGTGCGTCCACTCCCTTGATAGCAAACTGACATTGAATCAACGTGGAAACGACGTTTCTCATGACATCGAAACAACGTTGATCTGGCATTGTTTTGCTCATCGAATTAATTTTGAACCAACGTCAGACGCGCCATTCTTCAAAACTAACGGAAAATCGACGCAATTGGTTTGCTTTCTGTTACGTTCCTAAAATGGCTCAGGGAACGAGAGGAGTATTTTTTTTATGTTCCCAGGTCAGTTAGTTCTGTTAACGTAATTAAGATGCTGGAGCAACATGACTTAAAGACATAATGAGGTTTAAATCAAGTGAATGAATATATTTATTCATTGCAATCACGTGCACAAATGAGAGAGAGACAAAAAATAATCCAAATACCGTACCCAGGGAGTAGGAATCTGAACGGGGCTTAAAGCAAAGAAATAATCAAAACAAAACCCACATTCTAACTTCCCATTCCCACTAAACTACGACATCAAAGTGTAAAAAGGGCCACGAAATTGATCCAAATCGCAGAATTCGATTTGTGGTGAAGGTTTCAAGCGTGTTCCATCTTTCCCGTGGCAAAGTGATGTTTAATTAAATGCAACACATTTAATCTTATGTATTAACTCGTTTCATCTGACTCCATAAAATGAAAAGGGGTTATCAATGATATCTGTGCATCATTAAATACGTTAATGCTTGACTATTCCTTTAACACTAATGAAAATAAAGTCAAAGTCTGTTAGAATAGCCAAATATAACAATTTATTATGTCAGCTAAATGTATCATTAGAATTCCACAAGATAATCAGAGCAAACCACCAAATGTTTTAGAACAAAGAACTTTACCCAACATATTAGGCTACATGAGCTGAGAAGACACAACATCATGGGCTGATCTGAATACAGAAAGCAGCCCCGAACTCTAGTTACATCTCCCTTTATAATCAGACCTCACCTGATATGTAAATCACCAGGATACAATGGAAAGTTACTGAATCCCCCTACCATGTTTATTGGGGGCAGACCATTTGCTTGATTGTAATTTGCATTCAGACAACAAGGAAGAAAGGTGTTAACTCAAAGACACACCCTTCCTTGTGCAAGATATTTCTATATTCTTAAAAACCTTATTACCTTTTCTTTTATTTCTTACGAAAAATAAGTTTATTCAAGTGTGCTATTAGAATACTTGTTTTAAACTAAAAATAAGAGTGTACTTTCAGTCTACTTTCAATATACTTTTCAGATATATACTTAACAAAATTATACTTAAGTATACTTGGCATATACTGACAAGTATACAGAAAAGTCTAACTTAATCATTTGATCAAGATATACTAAAGAAAAGTATTCTTTCTGAATACTGAAAGTTTAAGTGTACTTGGCTTGTACTTGTGTTTACTCTTTTAACCTTATTAAATAATTTTCACATCCAAGTTAACATGCAAGTTAACATCAAGTCTGCTTGCTTAAAGTACAGTTAATGGTTTATTTCAAGCATAAATACTATAAGCTAATTGGAAACTTAGTGTATATAAAATCTCCAGTGTTGAAATCCTGGTGTTAAGGACTTTTAGAGTAAAGTGTTAATTTTCTGGTGTTGAATTTCAAGGGATTAACACTGCTAGTGTAAACCAAACTCTCTGGCTGGTGAAAATATGTGGAGTTCAATCTAAATAAATTACACCAGAGAATGCTTTGAGAACACGTGTTACTAGTCACATCCGGGACATTTACGCGCTGGGCGGGACGAAACGAGTTGAAACTTTCTTCACAGACGTCATTTTCTTTGACTCCAGTCGCAAGACATACGAGGAGGAAACACGCATTTATATATTCATTTTATAACATCATATTGTTTTATAACAATATGTATGTGCTGTGGACGAGCAAACCGCTCTCAGAGGGGCATTTTCTATGACGCGCGATGCGGAGCAGACCAGGATGGGTTTGCTTTTTAACAGGGAAACAACGAAAGTAAGTGTTTTCCAATTTACATAGCCAATATATTTAACACATTGATTCAAAGCGATATTTAAATGTTCTGCGCGATTAAACGGTCGAAATTCTTTTCAAAGACGACATCATCTTTAAACACGGAGCTGACGAGGAGGAGCCTTAACGTTAACAGGGAAACACCTAAGTTAAAGTAAGTGTTTTTAACATAATTTACCACATGAATTTCATGGCATTATATTGCTTTGTAACGATATTTATGTGATGTGCGTGCCTAAACCTCTCACAGTCTAGGTCCTGCGCATCTTTGACTCGTGACCTGCTCGTGACGCATTTCAAAAAGCAGTGCAGAGTGCAGGACACAGAGTTTGCATTTAACAGTGAAAACACCGAGTAAGTAAGTGTTTTAACTCATTTACTATACGTGTTTTATAATACTATATTGTTTATGACAATAAGTGTGATGTGCAAATATCATAAAGGATTTATCCTAAAACTATCTTTTACTCTCGTCTGCCAGCAGACCTAACGTTAACGTATAAAACAGAAGAACAACTCCACAAACTGCGGACCAAATGCACGTGGAATTTTCACTGTATTTCCTTATTTGGAGGACCAATCTTCTTAGAATGGGTAAGCAATTATTTCAAATTACATATTGATGCAAAATGTATTGATCAGATTAACTTTTAGTTGATATTTGGAGATTTAATGTTTAAATATATTTAATGTTTATTTAATGTAATGTAAATGTATTTAATGTTGTAATGCTTTAATGTTTAAATGTATTGCTAGGAGCATTTCTATGATGCACCAAGTGACTAAGGGTACCAGGCTTGGTGTTTAAAGACGGTACAGACTAGAAAGATCATGGTCATGGAAAGATAACAGATAAGTTAACATATGAGAGAATCATGGGGACAAACAAAAAATAATCATAGCTTGGTTGCTATTTGGTATAGCTAGATTTTCTTTGTTCCATAACACTCATTTTGAATTTGTCCAGTCAAATTACTTTACAAAAGTATATCTAGTATAAATATATATATATATATATACTTAAAATAAGATTTCGAACCAATGGTTTTCATGATTTGACAAGTAGATGTTTTCTTGCTGTTTAATTTTAGACTCAACTGATTGGAAAATCTCTGCCCATCACCTGCCCCCAACATTACAAAGCCACAAGACGGGAAGACCGATCCTTCCGGAATCCGGCGGCTGACAATTTAGTGAGATTTCTTAAGGTGCGTGTCTTTATTTTTTCTTAAAGTGTTAGTTCACCCACAAATGGAAATTCTGTCATTAATTTCTCACCTTCATGTCGTTCCAAACAAGTGAGACTTTTTCATGTTCACAACACGAACATGTTTTTACCCACATAGCAAACAGATCCGGAACGGATCTGCCGCGGAGGTAAGAACCAGGTCCGGAACGGAGTCCACTTGCACAGCGCAACGGATCCGGAACAGATCCGGATTGCGGATCCAGACTAGATCCGCGGCAGACCCTATCCGGATCCGATCTGGACCCGTTCATTTTGGAATGAAAACCTTTCAGATCACTCATTCAAAACTAGTAATCTGGCCAAAACTACAAAAATATTTCAAATCTATTGGTGGGCCAACATTAGATAGACTGCCCACTAAACAACATGATGTCCAAAAGATGTCTTTTCAACGTCTTTGTCACAAAAGTCGGATGCTGAAAAGACGTCCACTGAGGAGCCAGAATCAAAGTTTTTATGACGTGTTTTTTTTACGTGTTCTGCACGTCCGATGTAGACGTTCATCGAATCTTCGTACACGTTTAAAAACTAGGTCGAATGTGGCCATCGTGTTTAAAACTCATGTTTATATCAATGTCATTTCCTTACATTGTTTAGATGAGGTTTAGATGTTGATATGTTTCATTTTAAGTCACCATTGTGGTGATGAGTGTTTGCTTTAGTTGGGCTCTTGGTCCCAATTCTTCTTACTTTAACTTCTCCTTGGTTGTTGTAACTGTGTGTTTGTATAACACTATTGATGTTGCATAGAAAGCCAAGAAAAAGTAAAATCGGCTGTCATCGGCTCCTTGTTGATGATGACAAAAACACAAAGCGAGCTTTTAATGATGTGTGTAGACTTTTGTCCTTATATCTGCTGTTTATAACCACCTATTTTGTGGAACTGTGTTATTTGGACCAGCGCCATTACAATTATTGCTTCTTTGAAGGTCAATAAAAATCATGTGTACTCAATGTTTTGAGTAAATATGTCACATAGTCACACACAGACATCACGATTTTGCATGTGATTCTCAACAACGGTGACAACCAAAACAAAAAAGCTTGGGAATCAAGGATTTTTTGTACTTTGAAAACTACCCATCATGCATTGCAGCATGAAGCTTTTTTTATTGTCACCGTTCTTGTGATACATACGCAAAATCTTGATGTATGTGTGCGACTATAAGGTAAATTTCCAAATAACATTGTTTAACAAGCTTTTTTTTTATTCACCTTCAAATATGTGCTAATTTTTATGGTATACAAATAACACAGTTCCACAAGATAGGTGGTTATAAATGGCAGAAATAAAAACTAAAGTCTAAACACAACATCACATGCTCACTTTGTGACTTAGCAATGATAATCAACAAGCTGATGCCAGCATCTCACTTTTTCTTGGCTTTCTGTGCATCAACAATAGTGTTATACAATCACACAGTTACTACAACCAAAGTAAAGTTAAAGTATGATGAATTGGGACCAAGAGCCCAACTAAAGCAAACACTCATCACCACAATGGTTTCTTAAAATGAAACATAACATCTAAACCTCATCTAAACAATGTAAGGAAATGACATTGATTTAAACACGAGTTTTAAACTCAATGGCCAACATTTGACCTAGTTTTTAAACGTGTACGAAGGTTCGATGAACGTCTACATCGGACGTGCAGAACACGTAAAAAAAAACACGTCATAAAAACTTTAATTCTGGCTCCTCAGTGGACGTCTTTTCAGCATCCGACTTTTGTGACAAAGACGTTGAAAAGACATCTTTTGGACATCATGTTGTTTAGTGGGCAGTCTATCTAATGTTGGCCCACCAGTAGATTTGAAATATTTTTGTAGTTTTGGCCAGATTACTAGTTTTGAATGAGTGATCTGAAAGGTTTTCATTCCAAAATGAACGGGTCCAGATCGGATCCGGATAGGGTCTGCCGCGGATCTAGTCTGGATCCGCAATCCGGATCTGTTCGGGATCCGTTGCGCTGTGCAAGTGGACTCCGTTCCGGACCTGGTTCTTACCTCTGCGGCAGATCCGTTCCGGATCTGTTTGCTATGTGGGTAATGAAATCAGAGAGCTTCCTGTCCCTCCATTGACAATCTACGCAACTACCACTTTCAAGCCCCAGACAAAAGTACATCATTAAAGTACTCCATGCGACTCCAGTGGTTTAACATAAATGTTTATTAAACTTTGCAAGTGCTGTGTTTGCAGCAAAAACACATTTACCACTTAATTTATTAAATATTTATTTCCAACATGCGTTCATGACAACGTTACAACTCGTGCATGTTGTTGATGTGCATGTATGTGCATTGAAGATTAATATTTTGTAAATAAAGTTGAGTTAAAATTGTCAAAAAAAATTGTGAAACTGAGGTTAAATCACTAGAGTCACATGGATTACTTTTGATTTCCTTTATAGAGCTGGTAAGTCCCGCCAACCCGTAAAACTCCAAGTGGACCTCTAGATTGAAAAAGCGTCAATGCAAGTGAATGAGAGAAAATAATTATTTTCTGATCCCGTTTGAATTGTGCCATGAATGTAACATATGTTGTCTGTGAATTTTTTATATAATTTCTCATGTAACGAGTTTCACAGTATATTGTATGATTCTTTGGCTAGCAGTTGTGGAATAGACATAACGAGAAAGACTACATGTCGCATATGTGACGTCGCCGCATAACACATTTTCCCTCCACAAATCACAGTTTTCACCACGCTCAACTAGTTTGTCCTCTCCCTGAAAGAAGGTGGTGAAGTGCACCAAAGACACAGGCATGTTTAGCGGGATCCGTGTGCTAGTGGGGGTGATGCATATCAAACACGTCGAAAGAGTTGTAGTCCACAAAGTGCTCTCACACAAAGTCTAACCGTATGAAAATTCTACCCGCTAAATTGTAGCATTCTTTACACGAAAAATTATATAAAAATTCACAGACAACATATGTTCACATTCATAGCAAAATTCAAACGGGATTAGAAAATAATTATTTTCTCTCATTCACTTGCATTGACGATTTTTCCTCCTAGAGGTCCAGCGGGGCTAGCGGAAGGGGCGGGACTTACCAGCTCTATACCTTTCCGTGGTTTTTGAAGTGGTCGTTGAATAGGCTTTAGATGAATGGACAGAAATCTCTTAGATTTCATTAAAAATATCTTCATTAAAGGGACTGTTCACCCAAAAATTTTAATTCTGTCAGTAATTACTCACCCTCATGTTGTTCCAACCTCGCAAGACTCATTCATCTTCGGAACACAAATTAAGATATTTTTGATTAAATCTGTGAGCTGGATCACTCCTCCATAGGCTTCTAAGGGATCAAAACTTGCTGGCCCAGAAAGTCATTAAAGATATTGTTGATTACAGAAGCACAATCCTAAGTCCAATCCAAACTAGAATGCTTTGTGTGCGCAAAAAAACAAACAGAAATTACGACTTTATTCAACTATGCATTTCCTTCTCTGTGGGCCTCGAGATGGGCTTCTCGTAGTCCAATAGCGCAGCGCTTCGGTGTTGTACGTCACACACAAGGCTCACTATTGGATGACGCTGGTCGTGTGTTTGTGACGTACAACACAGAAGCGCTGCATTGTTACACTGTTAACTTGATCAGGCCCACACAGAAGAAAATGAATAGTTGATTGTAATATTTTTAATTTTTAGTTTGTTTTGCGCACAAAAAGTATTCTCGTCAATTGATAAACTTAAGGTTGAGCCGTAGTCACTCTGACTATTTTAACAATTTCTTTAATAACTTTTATTGGCCGCCAAGTTTCAATCCCTTAAAAGGCTATGCAGGAGTGATCCAGCTCTCAGATTTAATCAACAATATCATTCATTTGTCTCCTGAAGATGAAGGAAAGTCTTACCGGGTTGGAACAACACGAGGGTGAATAATTAATGACAGAATTACATTTTTTGGATGAATTAAATCTTCAATTTACTTGGTAATCAATAAATGCAAGTCTTAATCTAACCAAAATGGTTTCTTGTTTGAGTCGATGATTGAACTTTTTTCACCATAAACCTGCTGTATTTATGAAACACAAATGGTATTAATTGTAATTGATCTGGTTTTCTGTTGTCTAGGTACCCAGTACTACAGGATTTTTCGAGAAAGTTGGCTCTACACAGCCTTTGCTGCTCTGTGAAACAACTATGCACTGAACTTTACTGTTAGTGACTGGACACACACAACTGATCCACTCATATCCTGCTTCTGGTTCTTCATGTGCTGAATGTTTTTGACTCAAGCACTGCTGTACTGTTGCAAAGGTACTGAATCAACTTCACTGACACAGGACTCACATTCACTGATATGTTCAGGACACCATTTGATCACATCATATAATTCTGATTACAGAAATCGGTATATTGTGCATTCATCGTTTATTTTAAAAGTTAACCTATGATGTAAACGGGCTTGTTCGGTAATAAAAAAAATAGTTTGCTTGAAACAACTGTTTACATTTGCCTTTGTTTTCAACTTTACAATGAACAGAATTCTACTATGATCCCATACTTTCTGGATTGTTTTGAAATAAAGTTTTGAAAGAGTAATAAAGAGTTATGTGTTTTTCAAAGTGAAATTATTCTTTTCAGATTTAAAGAACTGAAGAAAATATTATAAGGTATTATAACTATTATAAGGTTGAAGAAGTAAACACTGGCAGTGTTGTTGTTATCTGCATTGGTGTTAAATTCCACTCTCTTAGTTTCAAACACAGTGTTTAAAAACTTTGATTTATAAAGTAAATTATTTTTTGATTTTGACTCGAGTTTGTCTTGTGAATATTTATATTTGTAGTCCACTGGTAGAGTGAGTTAACATCAAATGTACATAAAGTACAGTAAAAGGTATTTTTTTAAAGTATAATATGTAAGTAGTAACCTATTAGTACACGTTGCAAAAAATAATATATAAATAGTAAACTATAAGTATGATGTTAAGTTCACTGAAAGAAAACTTACAAGTACACTTATAGTATAAAAACTATTAAACTAGTAGTTTACTGAGTAGTATACTTAAAAGTGTACTTTCATAAACTAAAAATCCAGGCTAGAAGTATATAACTAGTAAACTAGAAGTATATCTATAAGTTCACTTGTAGTATAACTGCAGTACAAAATAAAACTTTGAAGTAAACTAGTTGTGAACTCAAAGTTTACCACTCTTACACTTTAAGTATACTTAAAAGTATACTTTTATATACTAAAAGTGGGCCAATTTAGTCCCAAGAAGTATTAAATTAGTACACTTACAAGTATGCTACTAGTACTATGATCTTAGTATACTTGTTTTGTAAAGTATACTTGGGAAAAATACTTGAACGTTACTTAAGTTTACTTAGTTAAATAAACTTGAAGTATACTTTATTTTGGTAAGGGTGGGAATGAGACATTATTACCAGTTACCCTGAGACTTTTAAAATGATATCAAACACTCCTTAATGATTATCACATTCACATTAAAACCATATTCTTGAGTGAGTTTTTCAGTGTTATTGACTGAGAGAGAGAAAGAGAGAAGATGCAGATAAGAGGCTTGTTCGACTTCATGCAGCTCTGCGCAGACCGATCGGCGGCTTACTTGAAACAGCGCATGCCGGTAAGAAATTTTGTCCGACTTGATGCAGCACTGACTCCACGTGACTGTGATGTATGCCATCAAAGTACCGCGAGAGCGATACGAGAGTAGCCGGAGGACTCAGCCAGCGCAGCTTCTCAAGAGCGGCTGCACGAGCTCTGATGATGTCACAGCTGTTCCACGATTCGCCGGATTCACCGCATGACAACGATCACGTGCGTTTCGTGTTTATTCCATAGACTGTAAAAAAATATGGACGTAGTATCCGTGACGTCACCCATAGGTTTCTGAAGAGCGGTTTTGAGGCCTAAAGTGGGCGTGGCCGGCCGTCGCCATCTTGGCAGTGCGTCACCTCTCGTCACTACCGGATAAATTAAAATGGGCAAAGAGGCGGGACGCGGGTGGAGCTGAGGTACTAATGCTTTGCTACTCATGGACGCTACTGCCCTCGCGCTGAATTGACAGCTGGTTGAAAAAGTAAAGCCAATGTTTAAAGTTCATGTTTTTGCCCTTCGAAATATTATAATAGTTAAGACGTAACTAAAAGTGAGACTATTTACTTTACTTTTTTATCAACTTTATTAATCTCACACAAGGGGCAAAATTAGTTAACTCTTTCCCCGCCAGCGTTTTAAAAAAAAGTTGCCAGCCACCGCCAGGGTTTTTGACGATTTTCGCTAAATTTGAATGCCCCGCTGAATATTTTCTTCCATGAATATATGAAGATGATATATATAAAAATAAAGATCTGAGCCTCTGCTTTTAGGCAAAAAAAACGTTTTTATTTTATCTTCATCTGTTCTTTTTTTATTGCCTCTTGAACAGAGGTAGGTTTTGTCAAAAACACAACATTTTGGACAAAAAACTGAGAAAAAGGTATTTTTATCAAACAAGTGCATTTAAAAGCAGAATACATTCAGATGTTGTTTCCTTCATATATAAAACTTTCCAAAATAAATTAAAAACATAAAATAAATGTAAAATATATCAAATTTCCCAGGATGTAAGGGAAATGTAACTTTTGCAATAAAACTTCTGCCTCTGCCTCTCTGTGTTCTACCTGTGAATAATGATTGGAATTACAATAAACAAGCCTAGACACACACACACACACACACACACACACACACACACACACAAATACATATTACAATGTGGTAAATGTGCACAAAGAGAGAAATAATTTGACAATTACACCTTCATATTTAGACAGCCACACATAAATGCCTGCACACACACATAAATATTATAGTGTCATAATATTATACGATCTATCTGCGGCACGTCCATGGCTAGAACTTTCTGTGACAACATGTGCATCTCTCTCACTGACTACTTCGTCCCGATCAGATGCAGAATTATCAAATAAAGAGTGATCGGACTCCGAGTCCATTAACCTCCAGTACTTCAGCCATATACCTCTGCATTGTCTGTCTGATACATTCTCACTACTCCACTTTTTGAGACGATTGCAATCTGTTTCTCTGATCAAAGAGTTGCGCACTCATTCAGGACATGCGCGCGGGTCTTCCTTACCGTATACCACCTAAAACACGGATACCCGGAAAATTCCGTGTTTGGCGCAGATGCGTTTTTTCATTAAACACGGAAAATTCCGTGTTTGGCGGGGAAAGAGTTAAGAGCATATACAAGTACATTACACAGATCACACACATTTCTCACAACATAAGCAGTCAACTATGTGCATCGTGATGCATTATTATTCTGCTAGTTAAAAATGTATTAGTTACTTACAATATTGCTCAAAGCTTGTGCATGTGACAGTGATTCAAGGCAAGCACACATGTCAGTCGGCATCTCACGTCAAGTTCCTATAGAGCTTTAATTCAGTCCATTTTACAATCCGATTTTGGCCGCCTCTCAGTTGGTAAAAACAGTAAATGAACTAAAAATCCGTGCTCATTCAAGAGTGTGCATCTGTTGCATGGACGGTGAGAAGCACTGAAATCATCAGACATCCATTAGTGCATGCGAGGGAAACAGCTGGAAACACGGCGCTGGTTGTTCTCTCCATACTCAACAGTCAACACGACGGAATCCAACAGCGTGCACGGGCGAAGGTATAATACATGTATTAAATTTTATGAAATAATCGCAGAAAAAGCACAAACACAGCTGAGGGTGACGCTAGCAGACAGCAGACAAACGACTAGCATTGAAAGCAGCGGCAAGAGTCCACCTGTCACTCAAGTGCCCATGCCCTTAATTATGCAGAACTTTAAGGCTTAAATATAATTTAAACAGATGAGTTGTAAAAAAAATCACCCCCCTCACAGTCATGAAGGGCAAAATTAGCGACATAGACCAAAACAACTATTTGCCACCAGGCTGTAAACATGTTTTTTTCTGCTGTGAAGTTGGGCATTTTAACTTGGGGGAGATACAGATTTGACTCGCTTTTGCAGCCAGCCTCATGCTGTTACGGAAGAAGACGGACAACAAGGTAAGTAATAGAGAATCGTCTTTAATTAAACAACAGAGTGTCAGGAACACTCAATGGGCAGCAATGAATGAAAATGGCAGAGTTCAGATCAGAGCAATACTTTAGAACAGTCCGTGAATGGATAAGAGATATATTTCTTTCGTGGACTCGGCAGGCGGAGATTCCCAGAACAGATACACACCGTTGTGTGAGACTGACAGATGGATGGCACACACACGCTCCCCTTGAATGAACTGGATGGCTTACGGCTTGCACACCTCTGAAGCGTAGTTCTGGACAGACTGGAATTGGCACAGAATACTGGTAAGGAAACACAGGTTAGTTTTGGTAGTGAAACTCGCAGAGAGAAGCACTATGAGTCCGCTTCGTATGAACGAGCCCGGACAATGAGAGGTGCGTGATGTGTGCTTATGAAGCGGCGTTGTTGATGAGGTGCAGGTGTCTCTCGTTAATACTCTGGTGACTGTGATCGCTGGGTGATTGTGGTGGAAGAACCTGGCCAATCCATGACATTACCCCCCTCCCCAGGGCCCGCTCCTGAGGGCCGAGGTCTTCGACGCCGTGGTGGTCTACCTCGGCCACGAGGTCCAGGATACTGAGGATGACTGGAATGGAATTCTTCTAAGAGCGTGGGATCTAGGATGTCGACTCTTGGAATCCATGACCTCTCCTCTGGTCCGTATCCCTCCCAATCGACAAGATATTCCAGATGACCACCACGACGTCGGGATTGAAGGATTTCTCGCACAGAGTAGATGGAACCTTCTTCCAGCATCAAGGGGGATCCAGCATTAAGTTTCTTGCAGGGCAGACGCAGACACATATCACGAGTGGAGAGACAAACCTTATCTCCCGGAGCGTAGACTGGACCCGAACTCCTCCTCCGGTCAGCTACTATCTTGGATCTGCGAACTGCCCTCTGCAGGTGATGGTGAGCTTCGTCCCAAACCCTCTCGCTCTCCCGGAACCAGTAATCCACTGCGGGGACCTCAGATGGTTCACCATCCCAGGGAAATAGAGGAGGTTGGAATCCGAGGACACATTGGAACGGTGTGAGGCCAGTCGTGGGTTGCCGCAGTGAATTTTGGGCATACTCAGCCCAGCCCAAGAACTGTTTCCAGGAGTTCTGGTGGCCATTACAGAAAGTCCTGAGGAACCGCCCCACTTCCTGGATCTTCCTCTCCGTCTGGCCATTGGACTGAGGGTGATAGCCAGAGGAGAGACTGACTGTCACACCTAGGAGTTTAAAAAACGACTTCCATACCCTGGATATGAATTGGGGTCCCCTGTCCGATACGATATCTTCTGGGATCCCATAATAGCGGAAGACATGATTGAAGAGAAGTTCAGCAGACTCCAGGGCAGTAGGAAGACCTTTCAAAGGTATTAGTCTGCAGAACTTAGAGAAATGATCTACTATGACGAAGATACAGGTATTTCCATCTGATGAAGGTAAATCGGTCATGAAATCTACTACTAGGTGTGACCATGGGCGGTTAGGGATTGGTAAGGGATGGAGCTTCCCTGCAGGTAGATGTCGGGGGCTCTTGGACATGGCACACTCCT